TCTGGCGCCACTCTTGGAATTTGTTGTGGAGTATTCTCCACAGAGGCTTGGTTCCTTTCTAACGGAGGTACCCCTATAAATTCAGTCAAGCGTGTTAACTGTGTCACCAGTTGTTGGTTAGCGTGAGTTGTGTCTCGAATTAATGGCTGAAAGATCTCACCCATAGTCTGGGAGAGGGTTTGAACCATCTGTAAGTTACTCTCATCCATCTGCTGCCTCAAACAGGCAACGGACGTATTGGTTAGATTGGGACCTTGAGTCGAATATCCTAGACTTAAACTCTGAGGGTTTCGACCAATGTTTGAACTAGGTCCTGATTCTTGCAAAGGTGACGCCATTGTGTTTTCAGAAAATATTGGGGGCGCATTTTGCAGCCCCTACATTACAGTCGTTGGCATCCCATACGGGGGATTCCTTGGCAAGTGCGAAAGACCAAAAGGGGCAAACTGCCTTGACACTAATGGTCCTGCTATTGGAGTTTGGGGATTCGACACTGGTGGCCCAATATACTCCAATACGGGTTGTGTGTAAGGCCTAACTATCGTTGTCCCAGATCCTACTGGGGCGAAGGTTTGTTCTGACCTTATGGGAGACGCTACTTGCTCTCCTGTCGATGGTATAGGCAGTGGAACCATGTTGTTACTGGTTCCTTCGCCAGAACCTTCGACTTGTGGGTTAGGATTGTTTGGCTGGTTCGTTTCCGTCGCCATATTCCTAAGGATTGTTCGTCTTTCTTCGTTAGCAGCGGTAATTCTACCACTTCTTAGTAACATATAATGTACTTTCTACGAAGATTATTAAGACTTGTAAATGAGAATCTTTTAATTTTAAATCGCGGGGATATTTAGCACTGTCCCACCAGGTGGAATGGATAAAGTGGAGATCATTAAAATGCACTTTGAATCTCACTTGTCCTACATATATGTATTGGATAATTTTAATTGAAATTTAGATAGTTAAGCTGGATATTAGGATTTCGTCCGCATTAGGCCTTTGACAGGCCTAGAACATAGGGTAAGCATCAAAAGGTTACGACTAATATCATATTCAATGTCCTTTAGGATAAGTATGAAACCCTAAAGGAATACTTGATCCAATTCAACAGAGATACCGTTTAGGTATCTAACTCTAATCAAACTATGTTCGTGGTATAATATCAAACAATTACAAAGTTGTGTACTTCAGTGAGTCCAACGTGTAAAAGTCATATAACAACATGGTAAAGTGATGGATAAAGCAGAGTTATATATAAAAAGATAAGAGAATAAAACTAAATACTAAGTATATTTACTGAGTAGAAGGCTCCGGTCGAAACAACTCCCTAAAATAAACATATGGGCAGATGAATAACAAGTTGAGCTACACGTCAAATAACAGAAGACCTTATGACTTCCTAAAGACTATACTAAACATTCAGAGGGGCTAGTTACTAAAGTAAATCATAAGCACGCAATTAGATCATCACCGCAACAAAACTTTAATTAACAACAATAACAACAATACTCTAAACAATAATATACGTATCGAAACCAAACAACAAAAACACTCTAATCAAGAGCAAATGTCAATTTGGAAATCGATGAATTAAGGTTGAAGTTTTGATAAAAAAATATGATGAAAAAGGTAAGTAATGGCCTACAACTTTGGGAGGATAATCCAGAAAAAGAACATGAGAAAATCTTGCAAATACTAAAAAGTTGAAGAGTAAAGGCATCTACCAAAGAAGATGAAGGCAGTAGCCAAGTAGGTTGGGGAACTCTACTTTATGGTTGAAGAGAATGATGATATCATAAGTTGTGTAGTGACTAAGTAAGAGACATATAAATTTAGAGTTGAAAATGCATTCTTATCAAAGACAAAGAAACAGAAAATGAAACCAAATTAAATTTTTTTCATAATGGTTTAAGGTTCTTTACCCACCTACACCTAAGACTGAAGCAAAACAAGAAGGTAAAATAGATAAAACAATCAATATTCTCTCTTTTCCTTCTTCATCTTCATCTATATCATCATCACCTTCATACAAATTTATCTCAAACCTGAAAAAATTAAATTAACCCTAAAAAACTTGAACTCATCATCCATCAAACAATTAAACCCAAAAAAAAATTATAAAGGACAAATTCAATTAACCTTATACACCAAACCTAATCTTATACCGTGAACATTAATTTTAGACAATTGTGTATTAAAAAATGTTTCTAAATTAAATTCTCTAAAACAAGAATGGTTATTTTGATTTATATCAAACCCAATCTTCTCTTCATTCTTAGAGGGGCAGTTTGGATAAAAAAGTGTACTGCAAAGGAGATTTTTTTAATGCACTTTATATATTATTAAGATGTTATTAAGATACGTGAAAATATTAAAATATCTTTGAACTTTGGATATCCATATACATCTCATTTTATAAAAATAATAGTTTGGAAATATATTTTTAAAATTCAAAAAATACATTTTCAAAATTTTTTAATAGTTTGAAAATATATTTTTAAAATGTAAAAAATATATTTTTTAAATTTTTGATCCGTGAAAGAGTAATTATTAATCCGTAAAAGAGTAATACATCTCTGAATATCTGAGATTATCTCGAGACCTTTTTTTTTTTTAAGATAAAATAGAAATATCTCATTTGTAAAGGTAAATGTTACAGAATTTTATAACATAATAATAATTTGAGAATTTTATAAAATTCACGTCCAAATGAGGTAAAAATCTTCTTTTTTTTTTTTAATACTTTGAAACTTTTAGAAAATTTAATCTAATAAATAGGACTGACAATGAACCGAACCAACTCGAAAATAGTTTGGAATTCGATTCGACAATTAAATATGAACGAAAAATTAAGTTCGTTAACTAAATGAACTGAACTTGAACTATACATAGTTCAACTCGTTAGGTTCATGAGTCAACTCGATTACATATGAGAAGAATTATGTCTTTAAGATTAGGTTTAAATATTTACTCCAAACCTTAGACAAATTTTATCTTCAATTTAGTAATTTTTAAATTAGACTCTCAAATGTATCTCTTAAAAGTTATGTAGGTTTTAAATTAGTAGATTTCGAAGATAAAATTAAATTTCAATATGATAACTTTTATTTTATTTTAATATTTTATTTTTAAAAAATATATTTATTTAAAATGTCAAATATACTAAAAAATATATATATTTAAAAAAATAGTTTTTAAGTCCGTGAATCATATAAGCTGGACCTAACGAGTTGAACCGAACTGTTCGTGAACTTATAACGAATCGAGTTTAAGCTTAAAAATTTTGTGTCGAACTCGAACCAATTCTTAATGAGTCGAGTGAATTCGACTCGACTCATTTTCCACCCTACTAATAAATAGCACCGGCCAAAAATTAAAAATAGCTAACATGTTATCAATGCTCTAACCTATGAATCACGGACTATCAAAAATTATAAAATTAAATAATTTGAATCACGCAATATTGATAATAATTTGAAAAATTAAATAATTTAAATGTAATCACAAATACAAGACACATCTTTTTTTTTTTTTGGGTGAGTGCTACATCGGCTCTCCTTGTACCTTTCTATGCCTTCACAAACATGTTTCTCTTCAAACCATTATTGTACTTGTTCATATCACTTTAAAGATTTCAACAGTCAAATGATTTATGAAGGAATTAAAAAATAGAAGTAAGTACTATTCTTGTGAGACTTTCATGTTTGGTTGTAACTGGTATTATTCATTCATACTGGTAGCAGAAAGTAAAATTCCATGTTCTTTATATTTGTCAAGTTGCTTCATCTCTTGCCATTTTCAGAGTAGAGTTGAGGAAATTTTGTTTGACAAAAGCTAAAGGCATGTAAATGCTATATAAAGATAAAGAGAGAGAAAAAAATGAATTTGCAGAATCAAAGAAAAAAAGTAGTATACAGAGGCAATTGCAGAATGTTATAAATAGGCAGGAGCAGTCACATTCAATATCTCATGTAAAAAATGAATTGCAAACACTTTGAATCAGTGATTTATAAGCCAAGTTAATGAGATGTCATCAATTACTCCAGCATTATGATTTTTAACCTTATTCAGATGCGTGGAAGTTGCAACATTTGAACAGTCAATTAGTGAAGATTACTGAAGATAAAGATTGCTTCTTCCACACTTGGTTTTTAGCATATCAACTATCTACCCCAATATTACTTATCCAGAAAGTGGAAGAATTGTTACTAGGTGTGAACATCAATATTCTCAGTACAAACTATAAAGTGAAAACAAAAAGATAGATAAACCTCACAACTTCGTCATTTAAGATGTGGATGTTATAGGACAGACATATAACAAAACCATTCTTATGAATAAATCCCATGAGTCAAGAGACATATTGAAAATTTAGGGGAACAGAAGTTACCTGATCAAAGATTTTATAGTTACCACCCATCCTTGTATACTTCGTGTCTGAAGGGAAGGAGGAGCAGGGATCAACAAAGTCTTACAAACTAAGTAGCTTAAATGCTTCCTCATAATTTGTAGCCATCGCTTCAGAATGAGAGATTTTTTGCATTGCTACGAGAGACCTGTGAGTGCTCTTGGAATTGTATGTCTCATTTATTCCAACTTATTGTCAATGTGCAATAGTAATAAATGACACAAAAAAAATAACAGAAATTTCTGAATCGAAGAAGAAAACATAGTTTTTAAATGATAGAAATATCCTGTCATGCAGGATTGAAAACTTCAGACAATTATTCTGTAAATATAAAGATAAATAAGCAAGTATATAAACTACAAAAGCATACTTTCGGCTAGAGACATAAAAGAGACAACACAGAATTAAAGCAAAACTCTCTTGCAAACCAAAAATGGTACATATATCCGGTGCTATGATAGAATGTTGGTTTTAATAATGATCAAGATAGATACCTAGCTAAGATTGAGTAGCAACCCATATTCTGTTTAAGTTGTGGTAAAAAAAATCTAACAAGCATGAGGACAAAATTTCACAGATATGGGTTATGAATGATAATTCAAACAGCAGTTTTCTTGTTCCTGAAATTTTCCTTCATCATGGCAAATTTTTTCTTGCACTGAATCACAGTTTTCCCAGGTACAGCAGCAGCTACTCGCTCCCATCTCTGACTAGCTTCCTTTGGAAAAGTTTTTAATGCTTGAACTAGTGCTCTTTCCTGCACTGCAGACCACACCTCTGATTCAGAAACTTCTTGAGAGTCTTCCGAGCTGATGTTATTTGTTGTTGCCGCTGGTGTTGCTGTTGGAATCGGTGTTGGTGTTGGAATCGGTGTTTTTGAGGCAGTACTATTTTCAGGTGTTGTTGCTGGTACGGATACACCTTCCACTTCTTCTCTGGTTGTCAGTGGAGAAGCAATTGTTTGTGCAGCAGGCTTCCTCTTTTCAAGAAATGTGTCAAAGGCTTTGGCTGTATCTGGCTTCTGGAGGAGAACACCTTTAGTTGCTTTCATTATTTCTTCAACAGATCTTCCCGTGCCGATATATTCTGAAACAACCTCCCACCTCCTTGAAGTTCCTTTGGGAAACTTTTGAATTCCCTTCCTCAAGAGCTCTATCTCTTCCTTAGTCCAAGGTTTCTCCTTTTTCTCGGTGTAGCCAGCTAGAGAAGTAAGGTTTCCATTAGCTTTAACAGAGCCATTTTGTTGAGTACTTTTGTCATCAACCACATCTTTCTTGCAACTATCTTCCTTGCAACTGAGTGCATCTCTTAGAGCTTCGGCCTGCTCTAACACCTCTTTGCCTTCCATTTTCTCGCACAAACCCCTCAACCGTTCAATATCAAATGTCAAGCAAATCTTTTCTACATCATCTTCAGAAATATCAAGTACATGTTTTGACGACGAAATAGGTCGTGAGAGATTTCTAAGGCGTGTTCGCTCCTTTCGCAAGAGTTTTTTCTCCTTCTCCTTCACTTTCTTCTGTGCCGAAGCAGCTTCAGCAGCTTTTTTATCTTCCTCAGCCTTTCGTTGTCTCTCCTCTTCTGCAATTCTAGCAGCTTCTTCCTCCTCCAACTTCTTTGCCAAGTACTTAGACTCCTTTTTCCTTTTCTTCTCAGCTTTTGCCTCTTCCTTCCTTCTCAATATTCTAGGGTCCCTCTTATAAGCATTATCAACAAGAGTACGAATCCTTGCATACTCTTCCTTCCTCGCCTTCTCCGACAGTTTTGCATTCTGCCTTTCCATCCACCTTCTATGATCTCGAGAATCAGCTTGCTCGAGATCAAACTCATCAGACTGAGGAAACTCCCTCCAACTTTTAAACGAATACCAAAAATTGTAGAAACCATCAACTTCGTTAATCGAAGTCTTATCATCACCAAGTGTGGGAATCGGCTGATTAACCGACCACCGCCCATTCCTCATAAAAGCCGGACCAAACACTTTAAAAAAATCCTGTGGAGCACAATCAGTTGGAATCTGATCATCAAACTCATCTGTAGAATCATAAATCCTTCTCTTAACAGGATCAGCCAACACTTCATACGCCTCCTGAATTGCCTTAAAATAAGTTTCAATTTCCTCCTTCTTCGCCTGCTTCCCCGCTTCAGTTTCCTCAGAAAGAACCGTAGAAGCCAGTTTATCCGGATGATGCCTCAACGCAGTTTCCCGGTAACTTTTCTTAATTTGATCATCATTAGCAAGATACCTAAGATGACTCAACCCCAATAAAGCATAATGATCTTGCTGCTTCTTATCCCCGTCACCAGATTTCTTCTTACTCTTACTACTATAAGAATCCGACGGCAAATACGCCTGATCCTTATCACCAACAACCTTCTTAACATCAGCCTCTTTGTTTTCTTCTTCTTTCTTCACACCACGAAGCTTAAGTGCGACGGAATGAAAAGCATGACCTGCCGGCTCGAATTTCGACGCCTTCACCGGAAGACAATTCGACGAAACAAAAATAGGTTTTCCATTTATAATCTCTGGTGAGTAAGTTATAAGACGATATTTTGAATGAACAGCCATGATAGTGGCTGGCAAACAAAATATAGAACACGAACACGCAAATTGATAATATCCTTCAACTTAAATTGGAAGGTGCTTTTCAAATTTAAGTTTGTAAAATCACTCCAACCTGATACAAAGAAAGAAAAATTCAAATAAGATAATTTCGTGAAACCTAGGTGGTTAATCGCGGCGGCGAATAACGGCGGCGCAAGGGGAGTAGTCGCTGGCCGTTATTGCAGCTGCTTCAGATGTATTTAACGAGAATGAGAATTGAGATTGATTTATTCGAAAAAAACAGTACCTGGATAGAGAAAGCTGAAGAGGAATTGAAGAATACGAATATGAACGAGTGTGAAGCAGCGGCGTGGTTGAATTACAGTGGCGGCTCCAACAAATATGTCGCTAGGTTAAACGAAAAGAAGAAGGTTGAAGAAATAGGAAATAAAAAAAGGAAGTAAAAGCGTGGGCTCTTTAAAACCTAATCTATCCGCAAAAATCGTTGGGCCTGAGTACATGGGCATGGGCTTGAGAATTCATCATGCAAACTCTCGAATTTAACCTAACACCACTCCAGCTGTTATGCAATTACACTATTAACCTTGCGAAATATAAAAATTAAATTTACTATTCTATGGTAATATTTTAAATATTTTGAAAAGCTTTCGTCATTAAAGAATTTTGCATTTAAACAATGGTATTTATAAGCCGTGGGTATTTAATTTTATCGTATTTTTATATTTTTATTGGATTTTTAAAAATCACAGGTAAAAAGTCATGTTTTTCATGCATTTTTAATTGGATATTTTGAATAAAAATCTGGTAAAAATACATACATTCTTTTTTATTTTTTGAAAAATCTTGTAAAAATTCATGACTTACATCGGATATTTTGAAAAACCAATAAAAATGCATGGTTTCTACTTGATATTTTGAAAAATCCAATAAAAATACATGTTCTTTACCGGATTTTTTGAAAGAAAAACTGATAAAAATGCATGCATTTATACCGATGATATTAAAAACACCAATAGTGAACAATTGTTATTTGGTTAATCGAAAATTTCAAAAAATCTAAGAAAAGAATGAAGTTTTTCGAATATTTAAAAAACATGGTAGTTTAAATTGCATTGTTTTTTTAGTAAGGATCAGACGACACGATTGCTTCTAGGTAGCGTGACAGAGTTGTAGCTGCAGCGGGGTCTCAGGGAAGATGACGTCGAGTACTCGCGTATCTGAACGAGAATAGTATCCCCGACCAATTATCACATGAGGCGGATGACAGCCGAGCATTTTCGTGCACCTCGTTAAATCTGACGTAAAGGATCTAGATCTGCTGTTGGATGGACCAGAGATCTTGATGATGAGACAGATGTTGAGGATGTACAAGCAGCAGTTGAGAATGACATGAAGATAGTGGCCGAGACAAAGGTAACCCATTATTCTGAGACGGAGGCTCCGACTACTACAGAGGTTACGCCGCAGATGGCTATTGAGGTGCCTACTATGAGTGATATTGAGGTTACTCCTCCAGTTGAGATAGAGGTTACTACCCCAGCCTCGACAGAGTCGTCTATACACACAGATTGAGGGTTTCTTGGAAAGCCTAATTACTGTTTTGTGCTAACTAGATATATCGATCATGTGGCATTCAGATTATGATAGGGAGATGTATGTATATGCTATGTTGAACTTGACTTTATTTATTATTGATACGTTGAAAATAAATGATGTTTTTGACTTGGTTTATTACAGGACCAACTGCGGAAGAAGGTGTCCACCCATAAGGGAAGGCTGAAGAAGTTCTTAGATGCCCCGATGTCATTGGAGGTTAAGGGGATTGTCAAAGAGTGTGGTCTCCTTTCATTGGTGGATTGTTCGCTGGAGATGCTCAGGTTAGATATTGACAGCCTTTGTTAAGCGATGGCATACGGATATATCTTCTTTTCATATTCTATTTGGTGAGATGATGATTACCTTGGATGATGTCTCATCTTTATTCCATCTTCACCTAATAGGTAATTTCTTCACCTCTCCTCCCAATAGCCAAAAGCTAGGATGTATTGGTGATACACGAGACATGGGAGTTACTAGGTGTCACGGTGAAAATTAGATACCATAGCTATTGGATCAGCTTGGCTCGCAAGACAATGATGTCACCACCGAAATTTTATTTTTCCAAGGGAAGGGAGAAAAGATTGAATAAAAACCCTAAGTAAAATGCAAAGTAAAAAGCAAGGCCTAAAGCCAAGCAAAAAGAGATCACAGGTACGGGGGTTAGTTATACTAAGAGAAGGTATTAGCACCCTAAGCATATGTAGTACTCTGCAGGAACCTCTTGAAATATTTGTGTTTTGGCTAAAATTGTTTGCTAAAGGTAAGAATGGGAAAAGAAAAGGAGAAAAGGTGGAAAAATAAAAAAGGTAGCTCGCTAGAATCTCGCAATACTATGTCTACGTATCCTTAATAAGAAGTCACAACAATCGTAGTTTAGACACTACGAGCGAAAAAGAAAAGTGTGTTCGCCAAGGATTGAGACCTTGTGTCTACGTATTCTCAAGAGGAACTTTAAGAAATCAGAGCGTTCATAGTTCGTGGGACCACTGGTTGTTAGGGTGTCGTATCGCTGCGAAGAGGGACCGGAAAGGACAGAAGAGTCGCCACCGTTCGTTATTTATCCCAAAAGAGGGAAAGGAAACAATTAGAGAAAACCTAACGAAAACGGGAAAAGACAGGTCATCGCAACCATGTCTTGGGTTCAGGAGTCGGTTACGCAAGGGGAAGGTGTTAGCACCCCTCACGTCCGTCGTACTCGACGGGATCCATGCTTGTTGTCTATCTAAAAGGGTGTTTACTATCTAAGCTACGACTCATGGACAAAAGAAAAGAAAAGAGACTCGATAGAGCATCGCCGCTCTATGCCTACGTATTCCCTTGTACAATGGGAAAGTCAGAGTCAACGTAGTTCGGCTAACTACGGGTGAAAGTGAGGGAAGGTTGCTCGCCAAGACATCGTCGTCTTGTGCCTACGTATCCTCATCTAGTATAAGAAATCAGAGCAAACGCAGTTTGGGCTAACAAAGACCACAGGTTGGTTCAAAATGTTTTATCCGAGTAGGGTTAAAACTTAGTTCTAGCAGTTAGGTGTATGCAGCTCGATCATTAGAGACTTAGGCGTTATCTGTTTGCGGTAAAACCAAGAGTTAACAAAACTCTCCTTATGAAAAAGTTTTTCCAAATTAAGATCCCGAAGGATAAAAAGTTTGAAGTTTGTTTTTGTGTTTTTTAGAGAAGAAGTGCATTGATTATTGTTTGTAATTCATGTTGCACTAAAGACTATGACCTAGGAGCGAATGCGTCGCATATCTTCCAAAGGACATACGCTAAACACTCTAGATGATTGAGAGGAGGCCCCCCAATCACCATTTCCCAAGTACTTAAGGCTCGTAGCGTACAACAATCCTTAACCTTTATTAGATGTTTTGAGAAAGTTTGAAGATGAGAAGAGAGAGACACTCTAAAGGAAGACTAAGACTCAACCTAATGTTCTCATACAAAGTGCACCTATGATTGGGATAAAAGGGAATCCTACCTAATGTTATCATGCATGGATTCAAACCTAAGGTCTATCATAATCTCTCTTGAACAAGAGGGATTAGAGGTCCTAAGGGAACATGGCAAAGAAAGACAAAAGAAGAAGAAGAAAGCATAAGAAAAATGCAATATGCAAACATGTAATGCACAATTAGAATGAAAGTGATGGAGGAAAAAGTGTGGGGAAGTAGCCTCCACAAGCACATCTCAACCTCAAGCAAGCATATGAGAAGATGCAAAAGGATGCAAGCAAAGAAAAGAATGCACACACACAAACAAGAACACAAACAAAAGTGAGATGAAATGGGAGAAATGAACTTCCTACAACCATTTGTCATTAATCACCATGCCCAAAGGAAAACCAAAATAAAGGGAAGAAGACATGATTAAATGGGAGAATGGGAGGCAATGTGAGAATATCAAGGAACTCAAATGGGCAACTCAACCATAAGCAACACCATAATCATGCAAGAAAACACAAGAGAAGTCCTCAAAGAATCACCATTCATGACATGTTCAAAGTACCTCCAAAGGAGGGACTAAACCATCTCAAATGGGAGTCAAATGTCATTGGACAGAAGGTGGGGATAAGAGAAGAAAGTGCACAAAGCAAAGGATCAAACACACCAAAAGGAATTGCAAGAATAAGCAAAGAGAAAGACCTAAGTCTTAAACACTTTCAACATTTGAAGTTCAAATGGAAAGCCTAAAAGAATGCAACTCAAGCACAAGAAGAAAGCAAGTGTATGACCTATAAATTGATATTTAGAAAGCTCAACATGTTAATAATATGAATCAAGAAGAGTTGAGAGCTTAAGGGATCCACAAGTGTCATTTCCAAATCAAACTAGGTTAAGTACTTGTATGAACCACCCTTAGAAGTAACTTGACTTGAAAGTTACCTCAAAAATATGAAAAAGGCTCAAAAATAACCAAATAAAATCTCAAATACCCATAAAAGAGTTGGCAAACAGAGGCCAAAAGATCACAATCAAAGTCACTTCAAAGCATCATCAAAGAATTTAATTCACAAGGATGCTCCACTTTAAAGGAGGGTTGTCGAGGGTCAACAAAAATGACTTAAAAGTCAAACCAAAAATAATCAAACCAAGGCCAAAATCATCCTATGAGACTCCTCAATTCATCATTCACATGAGAAAAAAATCTCAATCATTGGAGAAAAATATTGCTCAAGAAACAATAAGAGCAAGAATTGATTCAATTAAAAACAACTCCAAATGATAAATCCCATTTTAAATGAAAAATAAAAAAAATAAAAAAAAAAATTTCCAAAAATTAAATGACATCTTAAAGTATCTAAAAATATTTTTTGTGGAATTTTATCATATTTGGAACTATTTTTAAAAGAATTAAATTAGAACATAATTAAAATGAAAAATAAAATAAAATAAAATGGACACACGGTG